CTTGGTTCCAGCTGAATTCTTTCATAATACACTTTTTTAAAAAAAAAAAAAAAAGATTTTTTTTTTATTTGCCTTATTTTAATAACCATGCTTGAGTCCCCTAAGCTTGGGGAACCAAGCAATAAACAGTAAAAAAAAGAGCCATTAAAATATATGTTTTAGGGGGTTAGATTCTCTGTTCTTCTTGAATCGCTTCCAGGAGACAAGGAGAAGTCAATCCAGCATGTGTGTGCATCTCAGATCTCTGGCATCTTTCCTCTCTTTTCTCTTGATAAGGACACCTAAAATCTGGCTTTGGGAATGCCGGAGTTGCCTCTGCTGTGTGAGAGGCCAGGTGAACAGGACACGGTGATAGCAGGTGGCACTGGTGTGGTTTCAAGTCCTTTGAGCATCGATGTTGAAATAAGGCATGTTGCTTAAGTCATATGTAAGTCCTTGTCACTGGAGATCAGTGTTTTACTGGCTGCTCTTGTGAGAGGAGATATTTAAAGGGGCTAAATGTGCGGTTGCAGAATTTGTTTCATGGGACTAGTGTATGCAAATGGTCATTGAGAAATCACCAAATGAATAACAGTTTGTGATTTAACTTAGAAAGTTCTTCAGATGTAAAATTACAAGAAAGGAGGTTTAGTCAGTACGCTTCAAACGGATACTCTTTCATCGTTTTTGTTTTATGATAGAACTGTTGAATTTATCTGCATCTCATAAACTATAGGGTGTCCTTTTCAAACGGCTCTCATAGTTATGTGTGAGATGGTGTTTTATGGGCTGCTGTCTCCTGTGATGACAGGATGTGAATAGATGTCTCTAAGACAAAATATTCTAGACTGGTTAGTTAAACTCCTTTATCATTAGACAAAGAATATTTTCTGTGCAGCTGAATATCTTTTAATTGCACAAAACCGAGCATACATATTCAAGAGTTATACATGAATAAAATAAAGCCATTAGGGCCCACCTTTTTTTTTTTTCTTCTACAGACATGTAAATAAGTAATTCCAATGTATTCAGTGGAATTAGCATTGAACCAAAACCATCTTGAAGTCAAAATCAGGTCTATATGTTTAATAATACTTAAGATTTTCTCTTTGAACACATTATATAGATTTGAGATAAGATTATTAGTTTATATATGAAAAGAGATGCCACCTCTGAAATATTTGGCAAAGTACTTGAAGATACGTGTGTGTGTGTGTGTGTGTATATATATATATATGGGTTTTTTTTTTTTTTTTTGGTGTGTTGAATCAACAGTAAAAGCACAAGAGATCTGATCATTCAATTTAAATGAATAATCAGTTCTATTAAGGCTCCTCAGTGTGTGTGTACAGTGTACTAATGTTATTAAAATAATAACTGTCTGTGTTAGTGGTACTCAATACCAAATAGCTATCGCGCACCAAGTGATACTGCAGAGCATCTAAGATAGTGACTATAACTGAAAATCAGTGAAAGGAAAATACAATTTGGCTGGAGGAAAATGAGCTCTTAGTGTGGTGTCTTGTGCAAGTAGTGCTTCCAAACAAGTAAAAAGCATGTGAAGTACACCCTGCAATGCTAGCTAAATTCTTACTCAACTGGTATTTTGTCTTAAATTACAGTTGGGGCTTGTTGTGGATCTGATTTCTTTTTTTATCAACTGGATATTCTTTCTCATCATACTTGGAACATTTTCCTTTTCGGATTTTTTTTTCTTAGGGTTTTTAACACTAATATACATGCCTGGAAGGAATGCAAGAATATATGGCCTTAGTAGAACTTTTTGTCACCCAAAGTGAGGCACAGTTGTGTTTGTGTTCATTGTTTTACACTTCTTCACTTTACAGTTATGACAAGAATGTTTTATATTGTCATTTGGCATTATGTAATATAATGAGATCAGGTCTAGGGCTGTTGATAAACTTTAGAGTTCAACTAGTTGTCAATACAAATAACTAGTTAGTTAAAATTTTGGCTTTTTTTTTTTATTTGCCTGAGAACATCCTGTCTGAAATAGAAATATCAGTTCCCATTGAACAGTTCTATTGCTGTGTATAATCTATGGGGAAAAATAGCACTGCATAAATACAAACAATTTAACAATTGTCCTTAAAAACAGAAAGCTTAAAGCTATCAAATTATGATAAGGAAAATTAATGCATGTAGTTTGCAACCTCTTGAGCATGCATAGGAGATAACGAATTCAGATTCATTGAAATATTTCATATTCAGTTTATGTAGATTTCATGGAAGGTTTGTCCAGAGTAATTTGTATAAACTTGCAAATCTTTATGTGTTCCTCTACTGTTTGTATTAGCTCATTCCCGAAGTAATGTATACCTTTTAAACAGCTTACTGAAGCCATTAGTTTTCCATTGTAATTTACAAATTAATTTATTGTTTCTGATTTAAATGTTTCGTCTTACATATGCTTGCAGAGACATAATAAAGTAACTTTGATAAATCATGATTTAAGGTGATCCTGGTGAATCTATTACTATTAAAGACAGGAACAACCATACCTTCTGCCCTTGCTGGAGTTTCGTAACTTTGGGTTTGTTTTTGTGCTCATTTATTGGATGTATGAGGTTCTGTAGTCAGGAAAACAAAGTGCAGGTGACAGTGCTGCAGGAAGCAGCTTTTGGAAAAGATTTTTGGAAGGGCACAGGGTCACATTTTCTCATGCATGTGCCCAAGGACCCACCTTTACTGACTACGTGGGGCAGGAGGACCTGCTTGAATACAGGTGTCTCTGGGAGCTGGTGCCTTTTTGGAAGGTGGGCACAGGTCAGTGCCTTGCAGCAATGGGCCAGTTTGCAGGTTAAGTTGCCTGAAAGGCGGGTGGCCACCAAGGGGCTTGGCATGGCTTGCCCTGCTCCTGCCTGGGGACGTGGAGGAGCGGCAGGAGCCCAGAGCAGCTTGTGAATGAGCCTCTGCGCTCTTAATTACTCTTGGCTGATTTGCATGCGCTTCTGAGCTACTTAAGCACTGCTGAATAATGCATGAGGAGATATAAGTGGATGTTCCTCGCCTGAGTGGGCTGCAGATGAAAAGTGTCAGCTCCTTTGCAGCATTAATGTGTATTTCTTTTCTCAGGTTAAAGCTGTAGAGAACGCAGATAGGCTTTTTTTGGATAACTCCTACAAATGCCAAAATATTAGCAACGTTTGCTTTTTCTCTTCTTTTCTGTTTGAATACCTGTTATTACAGTGAAAGATGTCTGTCGCAGATTTTCAATTAGGAGTATGTTTGCCTTAGGACTCTTCTTCAAGATTTCAGCGCTGCACTGCTGTACCTGTTTCTTAAGCTTCCTGAAAACTGACAGAAACAGGCATGTCTTTATATTTCTGCCACTGAGGTTGATTATTTTTGCCTCCTTAAACACAGTACTTCTCCTAGATTCCTTCTTGCATCTCCTCTTGTTTTTAGCATGTCTCAAAGGGATAATCTGGGTGTGCTTTTCCTTCTGAGCCACCTTGATGAGCACTGAAATATGCCATTTTTGTTTATAGTATGTTCAGTGTGCACTATAGGTTAAACATAATGGATGCTGTAATAATTGAAGTAACGCTTAAAAACCACCTGTGATTCACTTAGCCGAAAACTTCTCAGAATTTTTACCATTTTAATTTACTAAGAGGCATTTGAGTGTCTTAACATACACTTGTGTCTCTCCCTGAAGTAAGCAGAAAACATCAGGATCTCCATCGTGTTCAGAATCTAATTAGACAACCTCCCTTTCTATTCCAGAATGCTAGAAAATTAAAGCATAATCATTAGTACACTTGTTTGCTTGAGATTAGCCTTTTATCTGTGTGGCATCTATGCCAGATTATATCAAAACTGTTAAATTTAGGTAATAGGCCATTCCAAAAAAAGTATTTGGAATGGGATGGTCAAACATGAACTGTGAAGACTTCCAGGGATGTGTCTGTGGGCTGACATAAATTGCACAGTAGTCTCAAATATTTTGAAATGTTTGGTACACGAGTCCTGTAGGAGTGTACTTATAAAGGACTACATGAAATATGGAATCATTGCTACTAAACAAAACAGCCTCATAAAAAACAGATCTCGCAGACTCCTCAAATGTAACAGAATCACCTGGCATCCAAAGATGAATCCTAGATGAACATATTCGAAAATAATACTTTTAAACTAAACTTGGTAAGAGACAGAAACATTGTCAAGTTGTTGAGGTTGCCTAGTGAATATAGCATACAGTTGTAGAAATGTTTTAAGCAGAAATATATAGCTGAATAACTATGATAACACAGTTCTATAAATATTCCTGTATCTTGTAGATGTTGTATGGTGTTTGCTGTAGAAATTTTGAAAATTGCAGTGAAAAGATCTGTGTAAATGCAGGTTCTTAAGAGTGCTAATGCTTTAGTAGTGTCAGAGTGTATGATATGAGTTCTCAAAATATAGAATACTAGAGGTAAAAAAACACTGTTAAGAGAAAAATGTATTTTGAGGAGATGAGACTTCAATTTGAAATAATTACAAAACACTATGAAAGCAATTTTCCAGGCAGATAAAATTATCTCTTTGTGACAGCAATGAAGACAAAATCTGATTCCAGAGGGTGGGATTTATTTGTATGTTGTTCCCCACTACAGAAAGTGGGTCCTGGCTGTCAAAACACTCAGTTAAAGCAGTCTCTCTCATTGTTCCAGTTGTACCATTAAGTTACTACTGCCTTTGGAAACCCTATATCATCTTCCTCTCTAATCCTTAATCACTCTGAGCACTACTTATTATCATTTTCATTACCTTTATCATTAATTCATTTTCATTACCTTGTTTCATCTGTAAAATGACTGGAACAGCTGGCTAGAGAAAGCTTACTTTGCTCCCCATCTCTTTAATGTTTATTTTGCCCATTTCTCCATCTTTGAAGTCGTACCATGACAAGAGCTTCATTTCTGCTTCATTTGAATTTCTGCTTCGAATTTCCCCTTAAAATCAAATTCTGACATCTAACTTTTCAATATTGCCTTCATTCCTTGCCCTTAAAGGATCCTGCTTCCCATATCCAAGTAGAAGTCCCAGGAATCTGTTGCTGGCAGGTAAGGGATAAACCGTGGTAATTTATCTGTTTGGGGGTAGTGGTAGAAAACTACAGCTTGAGGCCTGATTTTGCTGCTCTTATTCTTGGTGAAGCAAAATCAACAACATAGAAAACTATTTTAGGAGCCTAGCAGCTCATGGGGAAAACTGACAAACCCATATGCTGTTGTCCTGAGCCTTCAAATTGTCCATAATAGTGCAGATCTTTATCCAGCATGTTGGATCAGAATTACTTTGAAGTTCACATTGGTGTATAAATACCCTGATTTGGGCTTTGGCACATGGAGGGAAGAGGGGGGGAAAAGAAGAGGAAGTATTTTTACTGTAAAATGCTATTCATTGTGGCTAGGGTAATCTGTCCTAAGCATGTTTTACATTGCATTAATGGAATTATATATGTAAATTACATTGCATGTTAAATGTTGTATTATCTCCATATCTCAAAGCAGAAAGCTGAGGAAGATTATTTAATTAGAATGCAATGCTTCATCTGCCACAGAAAAGGGCTCCACTTAGACCACCTAGATGTGATTTACCACCGTCAAGAAGCTCGGAAGAGCTTAATTCCCTTGTACTTTGTTTCCAGGAAGAGAGTATCATAAGTGAAGGCAACCGTTGATTAATAGCAAGATAAGCAACACACAGCCTTTGGGTGGAGGTGCTTTTTGCAGTAATTGTTGCATTACTTACATTTCTAGGTCATAGAAAGGTTGTGCTAGGTGGGCAAAGCCTTACTCATTCAGGTCCTGATGTGAACAGCTTGACTTAATTCCAAGCAATCTTGTACATGAAGACCAGTGAATGCTTCTGCAAAAAAATTTAAGCAATTGTGGAAATATATTTAGACTAACAAATTTAATTTAAGAATGATGTTACTGCAAGGAATGCTGTGATATTTATACTGTTAAGGAAAAATCATGCCGTTCTGCACCTGATCTCACAGTCTTACAAATGAGGTTTCAGGAAGGATTCTGCATGTGGATAGCTTAATCCATGTGGTCCTGCCTACCTTTTTGTTGGCAAAGACAGTAGGGGTGCAGCAGCAAAAGGGGAGCTTTTGCTTAGAAAAACAGCATAAAAATAAATGGCTGATGGTATGAATTGAATTAGCATTTTTTTAAGTAAGATGTCAGAGCGGTAGATCTAAAGACTAATACATATTAAGATTTCTTAAACCTTCTGACAGCAGATTAACATGTACATTACAAGAAATAGGACAGTCTGCCTTGGAGAACTCAGTATATCTATCTTCCATCTACTATTGAGAGTCACACGTTTAATACTGATAAACTTTGTTTTTCATGAGGACGTTAAAACACATTTGATTTTATATTTTAGATATATAGTAATTAGAAGATTTATATAAATGTTTTGCTGAATATATATATTTCTCTACAAATATCTGTGAGGATCGTAAAGAATTTATATTTTAAATATAATCATACTGATATATTACTTTTTGTTAGTACGTTGATGTTTTAGTGTAGTTTACAATTAATTACGAATTTCATCTAGCAATCTAAGCCAGATTTTTTTCCAAAGTCTAAAAGAAGCAGCTGCTTATCATTCAGTGAAAACAAACAGGATTTGGGCTTAAAGGTTCTTTTGAACATCCCAGCTTTGGAATTTAATTGGGACAGCGGCCGCGGTGCGTTCGGGGGTCTGGGAGGTGTCTGCACGGAGCCGTGCAGAACGCCGGTGCCTCGGCAGAGCGGGAGCACGCTTGCAGAAATTGTGAACTCAATCTTGCAATATTCATTAATGTGAAATGATTATCAAACAACAGTTCAGACAGGGAAGACAAGCATAAACGTAACGTGCTCTTGCTGTGTGCATGCGTGCAGCATGCCCACTTGTCTGTGGACATGTATATGTGCATGGGTACGTGTATATCCATTTTCTGTGATGAGGTGGGTGAAAGAAAGAAGCCAAATCAGTGTAATTAAGTACTCAAAAAAAATAAATGTTTTATCTGATAGTAAATAAATAGTAACAAATAAAGCAAAGCCATATTATCTTAGATTTTGCTGTCCTTCATATGGACAGAAGTATAAAGGAGAAATAGAGCATGCACTTTACACTAGTGTTAGTTTGGTTGTATTTTGGATGTACTTTTTTGTTCCTTCACTCTACTTCATTGCTTCGTGGATCTGAACTTCAGAAAAAGGTGTGACCAGTTGTTTGATGCTGAATCAAGGAACATTTTCAGAATCTGAATGTGCTTTCCAGCACCAATACTGGTTTATTTAAAACCTGAATAAACTATATGGAAAAAGTCGTGATTTAGTTTCTGGTAGATTGACACAAGGAACAATGCTTGATAATTACAGTGGTAGTAGCATTGGTAGTTTTTAAGTTTGCCTAAATAGTGATTTGGCTAAATAGTTTGTCTAACTAATTGGTGCCTAAATTAGAAGTTTCCAGTAAATATTTATTTAGGAAGAGAGTTTCATTTCAATGAAAACAAAATTTTTATGAAAAAAATTGAGTATTGATGAACTTCTAAAATAGTCAGCAGTGGCTTTCTGTTCTGTGTCTAGTATAGCAAGTTCTGTGCCTGGGAAATTGATAGTTAATCTCCTTTTATTCTTTGCTCATGTTTCCACTTACATTTTGCCTACTCAAATGCTTTTTATCTTACTTTAACCAAAATGGTGGTGTGTTTTGCCATAATATGAATGTTTTGAGCTTGAGCTGCTGCTTTTTTTTTTTTTAACTAAAATATAAGAACTTTTTGATACAGCTTCACAAGTTTTAGCTTTTCTTCATTTAAAGTTCCACTGTTGTGATTTCAGAGATTTTTTTTCAGTCAAGCTGTGGTGTATAACTAGGATTACAGGTTGTCAGAATCTAAATTGTGCTGCGTTTTCTACCATGGTTACAGCTTTGTAATGAAATGTATGGATGTAGCATGTTCTGTTTTTATTAAAAGTTGGAAATTGTCTTGAGAACTGCTTAATTTTATGACATTTTCTGTTCTTGTCAGAATCTGCCATGACAATTGCTTAACAAGGGATTTTGAAACCTCTCGAGTTCCTAAGTCTTTTTCATCTTTATCTGATAAAATGCTTGTAAACACACAATACATCTTACATCTCTTAAAAAAGAGAGGGAATGAAAAAGAAAAAAAAAAGAACTTATTCGACTGATTTCATTCTTAAGAGTACAAATGCAACTGAAGAGAAGCTTTTTTCCGGTGTATTTTTGGGACATATACTTTTAAAGAGAAAATATACACAGATATGTAGAAAAACTACTAGTCTCACTTCTTATAATTCTTGTCTCTTTAGCAGCTGTGACCTGATGCAGATTCAGGTGACTGTTGAGCAGTTCCTCAGGCCCGGTAGCAATGTCAATCCTTCCTATTTTAGGAGGTTCAGATAGAGTGAAAGTGAGACTAAACTAGCCCCATAATCCAGTGCCCCTTCACTGGTGGAATAAAAAGTCCCACTGGGGCAATCTAATAAATTAGAGCAGTTGTGAGGTAGCCACCGAACGAAGGAGCACAGAACTTGCCTACAGGGAGTTGTTCAGTTCTTTTCATTGTTGCTCATAGGACAAAAACTGTAATAAATTAAATAATGTGAAACTCTCAGGAGTTAGGGAGGACATAGCTTTATAGCTAATAATTTGAGCAATTTGGAGCACTAAAACGAGCTAATCACAAATCCTACTGAATTATTGAAGGCAAGCGACAAGTTTCCAGTAACCGCTTCAAAGCTGTTAGTTGCCTTCTGTGTTTTCAGAGGCTTCTTATTATGAATAGGAAGGTTAGACCAGGACACATCTTTTGATATCATCTGACATTATACAGTGCACCCATCACATTGCATCATCATTAAAATAAATGCTATTCCGATCATTTCTTTTCCTACCATAAAAGCATAACAACAAAAAAATGAAATTGTGCTTGAGAACAAATGCATTCCTACCAGTTGTCTTTCCAAATTCAGTTTCAAAAACCAGGCAAAACTGAGATGGAAAAAAATCATCTTTGCTGAAACAGCAATTCTAGTAAGCATTTGCCAAGGTTCAAAGTTTTTCCCTTTTTGACTTGCCAAATTTTTTATTTTTAAAATATTTAACTGCAGAAATTAGCTTTGGTGAAGATCCGGTGTAGTACAACCGCTGGTGAATATTGTCTTTCAAGTGTACTGTCTTCCTGTAGCATTTCTTGTGAATGCATGCATCTAGTCTAGCTTCCCTTTATCTCAGGCATTTCCATTTTCCCTTGAATTTTTTTTTCCCTCCCATTTTAATGCTTCTCATTGTCAAAGTTATATTTTGATGCCATGAGAAAACATACTATTTTAGCTAATTAAAAAAAAAAAAGAAAAAGAAAAAGAAAAAAAACCCTTGACTCTTGATAGTCCTTTTAAATTTGAATGGAAACAATCAGATCAACACCAATGCTCTTGCATGGTTGTGGTAAGTCAGATTTGTAGCATGAGGTCTGCTTATACGGCTTGCTTTGCCATGCTTTTGGTGGCACCCTACTATGTTGTATAATTTGCTCGCTTTGCATTTGCTGTTGTGGTGTCCGAAAGGAATTTCAGCAGTGACTTGCACAGCAAGACAGCTTCAGTAAATTATTTAGGATAGATATAGTCACTTTGGTGTGACTGAATAATTAAAAAACCCTTTTAAGGGAAAGGTAGCTCCACAGAGACCTTAGTTACAATATTGTGAGGGACCACTTGAGATCCAGCAGCTTTGACTGGTGATTCCAAGGCTGTGGCAGTAGAAGATTGTCTTGAGCTGGTTGTTGGCTCCTTGAATGGTAGGATCTATATTCAACATTTGACATGAAACTGCATTCTGAGTTGCAAAGCAGAGTATAGAGACCCCTGGTTTAGATAAAACTCAGAAATCGGTCTCTCTTTTTTTAAGCAGTGATTTTAAAAAAGAAAGTCATACAGGGCTACGTTTCTGGGAATGAGATTCGCCCAAAAACGAATAAAATATTGCAGATATGATATTTCTGTATTTCTAGGTGATT